ATCAATTACATTCTAATATGATTTAATCCATATTTTTATAATATGCATTTACTCCATTTCATCTAATATTTTAATTCAGTAAAACCCCCTTTTATTATTGTTCTAATTAAAAAAATTGATAAATTTTGATAGAAATTCGTGATCTTTGGGAAACGACCTAGGAAAGCTTCTTAATACTACATATAGTAATTTCATTTTTTTTTTAATCTATTTGGTGTTTATATTTGTCAAATGAACGTATTCTTACTTTTTTATTATTATTATAATTCTTGAGCAACCATTTTTCTTATGACTTGAATATGAGATTTTGGTATAAAAATCATATAACATTTTGTCTTCCACTCTCTCTCTTTTTTTCTTTATAATTTTGTCAAAATAAACATATTTTGAAGATACATGAAAGATTGCAACAAATTAATATATTTTTCTTAGTTATCATTTTATACATGAACATGTTATAATGTTTCAAGACAAATATTTCATGGTTAAATTAAGACTTAATTGTATTTGTAGATCCTGAAATTGGGAAAGAATATAGTTTTTGGTTTCTCAAATGTTTATTTAATTAGTGACTAAAATAGATTTTAAAAAGTTTATTAAATATCTTTAGACCAATTTATGGAAATATTATGGACCTAAAAATTTCCTACAATCCTAGATGTCTATTTTACTCCTATAATAATGGGAAGAGCAAATTATATATTTCTACTCCCTATTATCGATAATGACAAAAATAAAGAAATCGTTATCTGATCATATTTATGCACCAACCTTACAACGTAATCTGATCGTAATATTGTAACCATTTTCTGCTACGGTTCCTTTGGATTCAAATGGAATAAGGCATCAGAAGGTTAGGTAAAAAGTTTTAAAGTCTAATTCTTATTCTTGGAAAAGCAACAAGAACAGAATTCCCCAGAGAGGTTATGACACGGGATAAATGGGAATCTTCCACACAAAAAAGTGTTAATCATACACATTGAAGCTCCTGCTTCATGTATAACTCAAATCCCTTCTGCAGATTCAGTTTGTATTAGATAATTAGAGTTCAACTTCATCTTCTACAACTGCTCCTAGTATTTGGCCACTTTTAGTTGCATAAATATATATAACATTCACAATCTCACGGGTCCAGAAATTTTACATCTGGAAATAATATTTCCATGATAAATAAGTGGAGAAAATATTTAAATTATTCATAAACTTTTATTCATATTTTAAAATACGAAAATAATTTTTTAGTTATATATTATGTAAAAAAAAAAAAAAACTAGTGAAACGAGGTGCCCCAAATTTACGTCCCCATTCACGAGTATAGAATCTCACCATTATTTTAAATTTGGTAGTTCTACTGTTTTTGGCACAACCTTGAAAACTCCATTAAAAATTATCTTTCAACTCTTTCTTATCTTTATTAACTTTATCATAGATAATGTTACATTTTCTACACAAATTAATATTCACCATACAATTAGATATAAAACAAAAGTGATGTTTAGAGGATTTAAAATATAAATAAACTTCATTAATTTCAATCTTATTTCGTGCTATTATTTTAAGAGTGCTAATATCCTTAAATCTAAAACCATATAATAAATATTATACTGTGGATAATTTAGTAAAAATATCAATTGTTCTGTAAATTTAACAACTATTATCATATATATATATATATATATATATATATATATATCATTTTTTTTTTAAGAAGAACTATAATAGATTTGAGAGAAAATAAGCATTTTTATTGGAGATCAAGGCCATGCTCAAATCATAATATCAAGTTAAACATTCATCAATTTCTAATATAATGGACAGTTTGATAGTTCATTATTCTGTGTGAGGAAATGTATTAAAAATCTGGCATAAATTACTTATTCTTCCTAATAATTAAGATATATTTGATAAATATTATAATTAATTATATAATGGATTGAGTACACATGTTTAATTTCGGGAATCACAGAATGCATTGAGATACAAAAGAATAATCAATTGATTATTAGCAATGCAAAATGTGTTTCCAATGTATTTGACTTTACAATTGAAGGGAAACATGTAACGATGAGTAATGCTTTGAACTAGATTTGTGAGGCAACAAAGTTGAAGATTCTCGTGTGTGTTGAAGAGGTTTTGTTTCTACTTGGATTGGATTCGGATTCTAGCCCGAAAGAGGTTTTTGGGTTGTTAATAAATGTTAGCTCTTCTGGAAAGCACAAACAATTAACTTTTAAAAATCACCATTACATAATACTCTCTTTTACCTGATTCAAACATCATTTTTAACTCTAATTATATTTATTCTTTATTATTATTATCTTCACAAACACAACATAAAACTCACATATATAATTTATAATTATATATAAAAAAATTAACAAATTTATTTTGTTGTAGAAAATAAAAATATTATAAAAAAAGTTGATATATTTAAAAAGTAAAAAAAATGTGATTTAAAATAATATTTTAAAAAATTATTTATAAAAAATATAAAAACAATATTTTAACACATGTTTTTTCTAATAATAATAATAATTATTATTATTATTATTATTATTATTATTATTATATTTGAAATAATAAATAATATTAAAACGTATTGTTGTACTTTGAACAATTTCTAATTTTTCATTCCTTATCATATAAAATTAAGTGTACGTAGTTGAAAAGAACTACACAAAATTTTAAAATAATAAAACTGATAACACATTTTGATAAAATTAAAATACTATATTAAAGTTTTAAATAAAATGTTAGCATAACCGATGTATCTTGGATATTTAAAAAAAACAGAAAAATATATCAACAATTAACATTTGCACATTTATGATAACTTAATACATTTAATATATTTCTTTCTATGATTATTTTTTGGATTGAAGTATAAATAATATACAGATGCATTACACAACTTTGCTAAAATTTAATTTTCATTTAAAATAATAAAACCAAATTTAACAATTTTGATTACTTGGTGATAAAAATTATAATCCAGACGTTAAAAATAGTAGTAATATAAAATAACTTATAAACAGTTAATTATGTCTAAAAGAAATCTACTAACATATTTTTTAGCATACGTCTGTAAGTTATTCATTGAAAGTTATTCAAACTTCTAAAGTTACATACAAAAAAAAAATAATAATAATAAATAATTAGTTAAGAAACATAATATAATATTTAAAAATTAGAATAAACATTTTAAATTAAATATAATAATTAAGAATAATAGAGAACAATAATATATAAATAGAAAAAATAAACTAAACTTAGAATAATTTTGATTGAAACACACCTAATATTATCATCGGGAAAAATTATTCATATAAACATCGAAAGATTCCCAACAAAATATCCTAACTAATAAATAACGCTCTATAATATTTACAGTAGAAAAAAATGTAAATAAAAATAACTTTTCTTCTCTCCTACAAAAGTGTTTATAAACGTAAAATATAATAATAAAAAAAAAAACAAAAACTAAATCAAAGTACATAGTCAATAATTAACATGGGAGTCACCAAATATTTTAAGACTTAGTTAAATATTAAAATAATAATAATAAATATAATTTAAATTTTAAATTATTTTCCAACATAAAATTATTATAAAAAAATGAAATCAGAAAATTTTACAATTGTAAATAATTTTTTTATAAATATTAATTTTTTTATGTAAAAAATTGCCTCCAATAAAATTATATTTGTTAGTTTTCTTTAACTTTCAAAATTGTCTCGGTTCAACTTCGATTTAAAACTAAAAGTTTAATATTTAAACTCTTATTAATAACACGAAATGAAATATTTCAAGTGTTACACACAAATAAATCATTCCCCGATATATGCTTAGTAACTTCAATATATTATCCATAAACAAATCACTCACTCTATTAATAATATAAAACTAAAATTATTAATTATAAGTGTTAATCTTTTAACTTAATAAAATAAAATAATATTGTGGAAATGTAATCATGCAAATGCGAATGATGTGTTTCCGGTAATATATGTATGTATCGATCGATATCCATACAACATCCGGTTCCTCTCTCTCTTCTCCAACATATTCTTCTGAATTGTTGGCAAGCTTTATGGAGAGAATGTTAGGTCTTACACATTCAGCGGTTGAGATTTGCATATTTATATATATATTATGTTGATTTAAAAATATTTTTTATTTAAAATTTAATATTATTCATTTAAAAAAATAATTTCGTCTTTTGATTAAGTTGGATTTTCAGTTAAGAAATTGTATACTTACCTTATAAAAGAGATATAAGTAGTTGAATTGAACTGTTTTCAATTCTTTCCTAGAAGATGTTTTAAGTGAGAAAATTTTGATGTTAAAGACTCAGATCTTAATTTATCAATAATTAGTTTATTGGATTATAATGCACCAACGTAAATTTTCCGTTCAGATTATTTGTTTGTAGGACAAATAAACCTAGTTTGGTGATAAAATAAAATCTAATTTGAGGTGACGCATTTACCTCAATTTCTAAAGAAAAACTAGAAGAACACTTTTACCAATTAATGTTGGATGATAATAAAAGCTACAAAATATTTTTTCCTAAAAAATTTAGCAAATAAAAATCATAAAAAACATATTTTTATTAATTATAATTATAATATTAGATTACAGGAGAAGATTATTTTCAATCCAATAATAAAAATCTAGCCTCAAACCAAAATCTCTACATTTAAGAGATTTATGAATTAAACTTTATACTCATATTCCATAACTTTGAATACTTAATTATTAATTTTTTTAAAATTATATTTTTCTTAAAGATAGTGTTTCATTTTTTAAAAAGTATATCGTCGTAGTGTTCCATACATCTCACTTCTCTTTCAAACAGAACTATAAAATTTCAATGCTTGTATAAATCCATTAATTTCTCTCCATTGCACTCCCTCGCTTCTCTTCAGTTCTCTCTCTGTATATAAGTTCCACCAAAACATTTCCAATTTCTTGGTTTCCAATTCAATTCCATTGCCCTGATGGCCCACGTTACCACCTCAGGTTCCTCATCTTTCCTCTCCCGCTCTCTCTTTTATGCATTTCCTTTGTTTTGTTTTCTGGGATGTTCCATTTTACGCTTTCATTACCTGTTATTGTTGTTCAGTCGAGGAGGTTCTTTGTTATGTGCGTTGAAACTGTGTTTTTGAGCTAAAGATGACATCTTTGAGATTTTTCTGGTGTTGGGTTCCCGTTTTTCTTGGATTCGTTTGCTGAATAAGATTCAATATGTTTTTTCTTTTGCTTTTGTGTTGTCTGCATGTGTTGTTATATTTTCTTGTTAATGTACGAGGTGTGATTTCCGTTATTGCATGAAGAGAAATAAAATCTTGAATGTGAATTCTTTATTTTAATGGCGGATGTCGTTACCCATCAGGCCGTTCCGTAGTGTGTGTGCTATGAGGTGGTTGATGTGAAGATCTGATTGCTTGTGTGATTATTTAGTTGTTATTTATATTTACATTTCGTTTGTTTTGCCTCTGTGTCTCTGGGATCTATTTTTTATTTAGACCGGACCTACTGGGGAGCAAAATTCATTGAAAATTGGAAGAGGTTTTTATACTCAACGAGTTAGTTTCAATTTTGTAATTCAATGAATAATCTTTTACATATATTTAGATTAGGTGCTATTAAAAATAAGTTCAAGTAATAACATATTAAATCAAATCACTACTATTATTCTTAAAAAAATTCCCATTTACCTCTAACTCATAAGCTATTGAATTTAATTTGTGAAACATCAAGTTCAGCTTATCCAACAAACGGGTCAAAATTTAACTCATTGAGTTATTAACAAATTGAGTTTAGAGCTAGCTCACAAGATGCCTTGGTTCGTAGCCAATTATTTAAAGTTTTGTTATTGGTATATTTCCTAGGAATTCAAAATACCTACACTTTTATTGTTATGGATTTTGGCTCCAGGGAAACAGAGAACAGAAGATGTAATATCAATTTAGCCATTTAGGATGTCATGTTACACATGTGACATGATTCTTCTATCTCTTGGTATGTAGCGTATGGAAGTTTATGGTATTCCAAATACATATACACTAATTGAAGTCATCCAATTATGAAGATGAAATTTTCTCCTTTTAAAGTATTGAGTGGCTGCATCTTGGATTACTTACAGTTCATGTTGGTACCTTAGCTACTCCATTTGTGCAGGTAAATCAAACAATCTCACAGATGAAGACTGTAAGGGAAAAAGTGGACTCGTTGTTAGCTTTGGTGAAATGTTAATAGATCTTGTGCCAACAGTGTCTGGAGTGTCACTAGCTGAAGCACCTGCTTTCAACAAAGCTGCTGGAGGTGCTCCTGCCAATGTGGCTGTTGGCATCTCAAGGCTTGGAGGTTCATCTGCTTTTATAGGCAAGGTGTATTTCTCTATCCATGTCATATGTTATGTTGTTTGAAATTAATTACAATAAGACTGTTCTAGTACATCTCCTCACCCCCCAACAAAAGTGTCCGAGTGAGATTGAGAGAATGCTTGCTTGATCTATTTGATAGAAAAATCATACCTTAATTCCTTGTCATCTGCATTTTAGGTTGGAGCAGATGAATTTGGGTATATGTTGGTTAATATTTTAAAGCAGAACAATGTTGACACATCTGGCATAAAGTTTGACCCTAAAGCAAAAACAGCTTTAGCTTTTGTTACACTTAGAGCTGATGGCGAGCGTGAGTTTTTGTTTTTCCGACATCCTAGTGCTGATATGCTTCTTCAAGCGTCAGAGCTTCATACTGATATCATTAAAAAGGTATTTTGAAGTTCTTTCTGTATTTGTAAAATGTGGTCTAAGAAGGTCCAGATACTCACGATATTGATCGCAGGCTAAAATATTCCATTTTGGTTCCATCAGCTTGATTCATGAGCCATGCAAGTCTGCTCATCTTGCTGCTATGAAAATTGCTAAAGACTCCGGTTGCATTCTCTCATATGATCCAAATTTAAGATTGGCACTGTGGCCCTCAGCTGAGGCTGCCCGGGATGGCATAAAGAGTGTATGGGATCAAGCTGATGTCATAAAGGTATATTGTGGCTAGATGATTTTTGTATGATATACCTTATCATTGGCATAATTTATTTTTATTCTACTGTATTATTTTGAAAAGAAGCATTCTGTCATTTTTCCCAATAGTAAACCAGATGTGCTATTTTTATGTTTGTGCAGATAAGTGAGGACGAGATTACATTTTTGACTGGTGGTGATGATCCTTATGATGATAATGTTGTATTAAATAAACTTTTTCACCCTAATCTCAAGCTTTTAATCGTTACTGAAGGGTCAGAAGGTTGTAGATATTACACCAAGGTAATTTAGTTCGTCGAAGCAATTTGACTATGATGCCATTACTTGGTGTTATACTATATTCTCTCAATTCATAATTTTCTATTTTGTCTGTGCTGCTGTGTTTGCTGCGTTGCTTGTAGTGGGCTGAATTGATGATGGTTGTGTCTTACTGAACGTGGGTTTAAGAATGTTTCATCGTATTGTAATGTACTTGACTACTACTAGCTACTTGTAAATGTGATAACAGGGTTTTCTTCAATGTTAATTTTTTCACATGCTTATCTTTTTGTCTCCTGAGAATTTTCACTGTTAGGCTAATAGTGATTGCCTAATTTCTGTGCAGGAATTTAGGGGCAGGGTCGAAGGTGTCAAAGTTAAGGCTGTTGACACAACTGGTGCTGGTGATGCATTCGTTAGTGGGATTATCTATAGCTTAGCTTGTGATGAAAGTCTTCTTCAGGTAATTCAGTATGTTTTTTACACACTCCTCTTGATGTATGTTGTGCACATTCAAAATATGTCTAGAGGGAGAAACTATTAGGATGTCCTGAAATACCACTTGTACATAGTATTGACCAATCTTTATGAAAACACTAAGAGTTGGTTAGGACAATATAAAACCACTTAAGAAGCTTGCTCCGTAGTCTCTGTCTTGGCACTCCTGAATTGAATTCTGTAAAATATTAAAGAAAAAGAAAGTGTGACAGTTAGTTTCAGACAATAAGTTTAAGATTTAATTTTGCGTGGCAGAATGAGGAACGTCTCCGAAAAGCTCTACATTTTGCGAATGTATGTGGTGCCATTACGGTAACAGAGAGAGGGGCAATTCCTGCACTACCTACAAAAGAAGCTGTCCTGAAATTCGCTGTAACATAACATCCTTCTTTTCTCATCAATTGGAGTAATAATTGTTTTTAAGATAAACCTTAGTTCTTGCTAAGCTTCATGTATCCTCCTTATTTTTCTTATTTATAATAGTAATAATAATAATAATTTCAATCTCTAGCTATATCTTATAGCACATGTTGAGCACACAGATTAACGTTTCTGTTGAAATGTTGTACATCTGAGAGCTTTAATAAAATCCCAAGATAAAATGAAAAAGAAAATGCTATGAACATCTGTGCTTGAATGATGTGGAGTTCCTTCTGTTTTCTGAGTTATAATTGTTTGACAAAGATTTTAAGCTGTGTTCATTGGTGGCTTGATTAATTATTAATCTCTGCGATTCGATTCAACTGAAAAATTGGTGAATTTGATAAGTCAGCAATATCAATATTTCGAAAAAATCAAGTCGTACGGATTACTCCAATACAGACCAAAATGAGATAAAATTATGCATATAAATTGTTATTATGTAATATTAGTAAATTATATTAATTACACAAGCTTTTTATTCTATATTGTAAAAGTAATTAAGAGAAATTGATGTATAAGAGAGTCTGGTAAAAAAAATGATTGAATGACATGAATGTTACGTAAGGGTATAAAGAAACGCGGGAAAATGTGTAATTTTATGTATAATTGACTAAATGGTGGAATTTTATGAAACTTCAGATTATTTACAAAAGTATATATATTTATATATTATTAGACCGATTCGTGAAACATATATCAAGTGCATTAGTGTCGGCCAAGTTAAAATTAAATAAGTTATTCCAATGTAGTGCACCAAAAATAAACTAGTTAGTTTTTTTTTTCAAAAATTATCGTTTAACTGCAATTAAAATTAATATATTGAATTAAAAACATTAAAGCGGACAAATTTCATCTTAATGTTTAGTTTCATTATATAAAAAACATGTTTATCAAAATAAAAGAAGCTTAAAATCATTACCAATTTAAAAAAAAAAAAAATGGAATGTGGCTTTATTATTTTAAAAGATGAGCACATTTGGAGTATGTTTCAATAGTGATAATATATATACAACCACACTTTTTAATATGATTACTTTACAATTATTAATAATATTCTAATAATAAACATATAATTTAAAAATTATTATTATTATTATAATATTAAAATAGGTTGTATGGTAGAAATTTAATTTGAAAGAATTGACTAGATATAATTTTCCATGTATTAAATGAGATTAATTTTTCATGGTAATATTTGGAGATGAATATGTTGGTGGATTAAAAATTAACATATATCGATACATGTGATAATTTTTTATAAAAAGCTTCATGTGACGCTCAACCTTTTGCGACTCCGGCTAACGTGTGAGGCACGTGCAAACGTGTTGAAGGATTGAAACATCGATTCACGCCAACTGAATCTGTAACAGCGTCACACAGGCCATTTCCGCTTTGGGTTCTTCAAACCGCTTTTTTCCTGAACCGGACGTCGTTGGTTACGGTCCAACCGGGTTGAAGCCACTGCTGGGAAATCACATACCTGACGGAGGCGGCAGTTGAGGCGGCACACGAACGAGTTGTGGAATGTGAGTGAGCGGATTCCGAAATGGCTTCGAACCCGTCTCTTCTCCCTGAGATCGGACCCGACGGTCTCGCTAAAGAAGCCCCCGTCATCAGCTACACCGAGAAGGTTCTCTCCGTCGCCGTTTTCGTTTAGTTTTATCATTGCTGGATTAATTTTCCATTGTTTTTCCTCTTTTTCCGCAGATCATTGAAGCAGAACAGCTTCAATTGCAGAAGTAACTTCTCTCCCTATTTCTCTTCACTCGGATCTGCTAATTAATTTGTTTTCCATTTTGAACTCTAATTATGCGCATGCACTTACAGCATTGTTTGGATTTGTTGAATCGAATAAATTGCTATAGGACTTTGTGTGTGCTATTTTCATGTGCATATGGAGAGTTTTGGGAGAATTGGAGATTTTAGAATAAATTTGTGTAATTCTATGATTTTCCATGCAATATCAAGTAACCAATGGCTGTGGAATATGCAAAATTTATTTTTATATCTACTTAGCTATGGCCTAGGAAATTACTAGAATGTTCTTTACTGGGATGCTACAGCGGATGGTTTTAGGTCAATGGTTGTGAAAGATTCAGTTGGGTTGATGAAGGAATGAAGTAATAACATCTTTCATGGAAATATGATATTTATAAAGCTTGAAGAACAGGTAACATGTTGCTGGCGGAAGGAAGTAAAGGCGATGTTTTTGTACTGATGTGTTGGTTGGAATGTTAAGGTGAATGGAATTCATTCTGATGCTGTGGTTGTAGTAACACGTAATCCATCTTTATGATGTGCAACAAGGTTGGTGGTGGCAGGACTCATTTATACAATGGAATTTGAATAGTTTTTTTGAAAAAAAAAAAAGTGTTCTCACAGTTCTGAACTTGCAATTTAGTGTAAAATATATAAATAATGGAATAAGACCTGTGTTTTATGTTTAAAGGCAATCAATAGGTTGAGATGAAGGAAGAGAAATCATTGCTAACTTCTTTATTTCGGAACTAATATCTAGTTTGGACATACAAGACGTTTGGGGGTGTAGCAATTAATCTTGTGAAACGTGAATAATTGTAAAAAGAACAAATTTTGTAGTATTTATAAAAACAAGGTGTTGGGTAATTTTGGAAGTCCAATGATACCTTTTCATCAATACTGCTTGGTGTGATTGCTGGGTAACTTCAAAGATTGAGCATGGCCTTTTTTAATTATTAGTTGTTATTGCATACTTTATGTTGGCAAATAAAGTAACTGGACACAATGATCTTGACCTCTTGTTATTATTATTTGCAGATACATTCAAGAAAACTATTCTAAAATTCGTGAAGTGGAGCGTGAGCTTGCAAATCTTTCACTGGAGATGAAACTTACAGCTGGGCCCAAAAAAGCAGGTTTCTACAAATTATTGTTTCCCTTTCTGGCATCAATTTAAAAGGTTGTTATTCCCTGGTTATTATAGTGAAATGACTTTGCTTTATTTTTTATAAATGATGCATACTTTAAGCACTTGAACATTTGAGAAAGAAAATAGAGATATCAACAGAAAGAATCCGTGGGGCCAAGTTAAAGGAAGAACAGGCACGGAAGGTCTGTGACTCTGTTACTTTACTAATCTCTATTTTTCTCCTGCAACTTTTATAATATCAAATTATTTGTGTTATTGATGCTATGTAATCCATCACGCCAGCACCGGTACCAACTTACTGTATGACTGATCTCAAGTTCACTTTTAGCTCAATGAAGTTGCTGGAATGGATGACTAGGATATATATGTTAATAAACACTTGTGTTGATATTGAATTGTCCATAGTGTACTACTGAATAAGCTTCTAGGGTTTAAATTTAAGTATAGGTCACATAAATTGAAGAGGACATTATTTTAAGCACTTTACCCAGCAAATGCAAATAAATTTGTGATTTAAAAAAAAAAAAAAAAACTCATTTAACTATAGTAAATGAAAGAAATTTATACTTGTTTTACATAAATAGTTTTTTCTCTTTTTGTTTCTGCCAATGAAAGAGGTATTTTATAAGATCTTTGAAGTTTGAATCATTATTTGTGTGAATAACAGAGGAATTGATTGTTATTCTGTTTTTTTTTTCTTTTGCTCTTAGTGCAGTCTAATAATTAAATTAACAAGTTGATGCGCTAAAGAAAATACTGTCGAGAAGGTTGTATAGATATGGATGAGTGTAGATGGTCTGAATAATTTGATCTACAATATCAATTGGTATATGCTAAGTAACTTCTCAAGTATAGTTCACATCCTAATTGTTTGTGCTATAGGTGTGGGAATCAGCCTCACAAGCAGTAAGAGATGAGGAGGCAATAAAACAAAAGCTATGTGAAGACTTGAGTAATCTGGTAAATAGTGTGTTAAATGAAGACATAATATGCTACTGTTTAGCTGGTTGTTTGACACTGACATCTTATACAGGTTCAAGAAAGCAGTAACTCTCAGTTTGCTAGGCTGGAGGAATTAAAAAGAAGATTGGAAGCTTTGAATCCAGGTCGCGCATCAGCTAATATTTCTCATGTATGTACTTTCTCACTGTATTCATCATTAGTTATATAGTTAGTGTTGGCCTCTAAGCTACGATCCTAATTTTGGGGTTTATGCTGCATAGTGTCCTTAATGAATAAACTGTTCTCAGAACTTTTTAACTATATGTCCTCCTAAATTCATCTATAATAAGCCCCTCTTCTGGGAACTGATAATATTCCATTTGGAAGTGAAACTTATAGGGATTGTAGACATGCATTGAGAACGGAAACCTGCTTGCATTTTCTGACTTATCTACAGAAAATATTGCCTTTCTCCTTTTTCACAACATTTTGACAGCGTGGAGCACAATACATGCTTTTGCATATGCATCATGATACCACAGCATTAAATATTACAATCCTGCACTTGAATAATAATAGGATGGGAGATCAGGAGCTTCTTCTCAGGATAGTGCAACCCAGCATGGTTCCTCTGTCCCCAATGCTAAAGAATTAAATGAGGGATCAACCGAGAGCGTGTCCAACAAAAGTAATGGTCAGAAAGTTGCAGTGACAAATGGGCCTAATCAGCAGTCACATAATGAAGGCGAAGGAAAAACTAAAAGGAAAGTCAACTTGCAACCAAAAGGAAAGGGAATTGGTGCTGTGGCCAAGGGTAGATCTTCAACTCCTGGCTGGACTGGGGCTGGCTTCGATGTAGATGGTAGAACTTAAGAATACTATTATACTATAGTAAGACGTTACTGCACTAAATTCATTTTTGGGTGAGATGTCCATGTTTCTGTGCAAGGTATATATCCTTCGGTCATCTGTTCTTGTTACCCATTAACTTGGAAGTGTAATATTTTCTCAAATTATATTATTTCTGTGACAGTTGGTTGAGGCACTGATCTTATATAAGTCTCACGTGATCTTTTTAATTAGAAAGGGAGTAAATTATGTGGTAGTCATATATATAAAAGTTAAGAGTAAATGACAGACTCGCAACCAGATTCGAATGATCAATGCTAAAAATTATAAGATGTAATAATAAATATCTATTCTTGTCACTTGCGGAAATGAAGGTTTTTGGAGACTATTAGATTTTTTTATTTAAAAAAATTTGAAAGCAATGGCTTTTTAAATAGTTATATACAATTACCTTATAATTTTGAGTGTCTAATTATGTGATCTAATTTTATACTTTCTTTGTTCTTTATTGTAAGGTATATTTTAGAAAAAAATGTTAGTCCTTTTTACAATATATTTTCCAATTTCTATATTAATGAACAATGAGAAAATAATTTTGTAAGTAATTAGTTATGAAAGTTAATTTGGTACATTAGTATTATTTCCATGTTAAAAGTGTCACATAAATGGGGAAAATCACTAAAATGATACAATTTAAAACAAAATAATTGATTTAGGTAATTTTTAAAAAAATTATGCAAATGGATAAGTCGTATTTGATAATAGAACTATACAGAGAAGAAATATTTTTTGTGTGAAGTCATGCTATCTATATTTAATAATATTAAATTTATTATATATAATTAATAATAAAATACAAATAAATAAAAAATTAATATTTATTATTTATCATAAATATTATTATTATAATTAATTATTATAATAATATTGATAAATAATAAATAAAATGATAATAATATTATTAATTATTTTATTTATAATATTATTTTTATTAATAATATTATTATTAATATTATTATTTATTATTAAAATTATCATAATTATTTATTGATAATAATAATTTTTTTTATAATAATTACATTAAAAATTTTAAAAACTATTTAAATTATTATTATTATTAAATAAAAAATTCAAAATAGAAAACAAAAGAAATGATTAATTAAAATTTTTCATTAATACATATTATTATTATATATATTACTTTAGATTTTAATAATTTATTAATAATCATAATCATAATATAAAAATAATAATTGTAATTATTTATTTAATAAGTGATAAATATAATAAAAATAAAATTAATTTAAGTATTAATTATTTTATTTATAATATTTTTATCTTTAATATTATTTTTACTTTAATTTTTATTTTATTAATAATAAATTTTATAATAACAATAATTACATTAAGAATTAAAAAAATGATTTTTATGTTATTAAATAAATAATTATTATTATTATTATTAATTTTATTAAAATGTAAAGTAATAAATATAATACTAATAATAATAAATATTAATGAAAATTTTTAGTTAATAATTTCTTTTATTTTTTAATCTTAATTTTTTGGTTAATAATAATAATCATTTAATGATTTTTAAAAAAATTAATGTAATTGTTATTATAAAATTTATCGCTAAAAAGAAAAATTATGATAATTTTAATAATAAATAACAATATTAATAAAAAAATAAAAAAAATATTAAAAATAAAAATAATTAATATATAATTATTAAATTTTTTGATATTATTATTATAATTAATTAATTATAATAATAATATTTATAATAAATAAAAAATATTAATTATATTATTTTATTTTTAATTAATTTAATAATAATAAATAAATATAAATAACTATTAAATATATATAAGTGAACTCGTATTGGATAACACTAATTCTAAAAATAAAAAAATGGTTAAAAACGTTAAAAAAAACATATTTAATATGATTTTTTTATTTATATAATTGTCTTATAAACACGATTAATTCATTTATGTAATTAAAAAATAAAAAATATTTAAATCGATAATTTTATTTTAAAATTGTACCATTTTAATACTTTTCTGTATTAAGGATAAAGGAGAGAAATATACTGTATTTTTACATATTAATGCTAAAGGACATGATGTCTGAGTGCATTTCCAATGCAAACTTAATTTACGCAGAGTATAACTATATTTAAGTGTTAATAGCTATGCACTGAGTTTTAAACTGCCAACCATTCTCTTTTTTTTAATTAAATCTTGTTTTACCTCTCAAAAAAAAAACAAATTCTTGTTTGTATTAGACTATCAGCCTTTTTAATTAAATTATTGTTTTACCGCTTCAAAAAAAGTATTAAATTCTTGTTTTAAATCCAGTCAACGTTCTTAGAATATTGATTCTTCAGGGGTGTACTATACACTATTAGGAAAAAAAAAAAAAAAGAGTGAGGATAGTAACAATGATCAAGACATGGTTGCAGTTCATTTGAGTAAATCCACCTCTGGGTATTGTTATAAAATAATAAATACTTTTTTAAAAAAAGACGTAGCTTTTCGTTTATGCCTTCGTTTGCCATTTTGGATGCCATTGTCACCTTCTCCTCTGAGAAAATATAGTGTATCTGTAAACACACATCGGTAACTCATTGTGTATTCTGGAATTTCAAGTACCAAAAAGACCGTAGAAACTAATGAGAGTATTCTGGGCACACTTTCATGTTGTCAGATATATAGCACGGCTTCAACGCTTCGTCATTCATCTTTATATTTTCTTCAAGTCCATGATTCTACCTTGGATTTTGTTCTGTCAAAACATGGATTTTTGTTCTCTCAGTATACCTGAATGTTTTTCATCTTGCAATATTATAATTCCAAGAGTATGCAACAGAAGGGATCGATGCATGTTTAGCAAACCAGGAAGGAAGAATATAAGGAAAACCTGCATTTGGGAGTGGCCAGATCAAAATTAATTTCACCTATATTATCAAACATCCTAAATAACATAAGAGGGAACTTAACTACTTATAATTTAAGCTGTAAAAAAACTATTTATAATTCAAGCTATAAAAACTCTTCGTGATTCAAAAATAAAAATATCCTACATAAAAATTAAGTTTAGAGAGTGATCTATTTAGATAAACTTTGCTAAAGTATCAATTTTAATGAATCATTTCTTAAAATATGAAACTCTTATGAATTCAGAATAATAAGATGCTCCTGTAGTGATAACTTTTAAGATTATATATAGTTTAACAAAGATAAAAAATCAATAAAAATAAGAAAATATCATCGTAAACAAAAATTTGAAAAGTTCAAGAAAAAACATATCCCTTGATAACGTAACAAATTCTCAAAGCTCAAACAATTCCCTGGCATGAGTTCAGTATATACATTTAGTGTATAATAAATTGGTTCTTCATTTGAAAGCTCTCAAATGACGAGACAAAAATTTGTCACTTCCGCTTTTGTTGTAATCCGTGGTTTGAGAATTCTGAACCAAAAAGCAAATACAGTACCTTTAATCACCACTATTAATATCCTGCATTGTTCTTGGGCGGGGCATCGTGTTTATACAACATCCAAACTTTTTGTTTGCTGTCAGGGCTTAAACATAATTCACACCAACCCATATTTGTCCCATTCTGTCCCAACTTTGGAAATATCAGATTTTAACATGTTTGAGATCCATCGCATTTTCTTCACATGTCATGCCTAAATGAAAGTGTGGGGGTCAGTTTAGAGATATTTGCGAATATCTGCTCAAACTTATATTCTAGTAATAATTAAGTTATAGCAATAATCAATTTATAAAATTGAACTTAACTATCTACTTTAGCAACATAGATTTTACCCTTATTACTTATTTTTTTTATTAAATAGTAATATAATAGTTTATGATTTATTTCATATATATAAAATGACAACTTATATTTCGAAATTTTTTATATTATTTGATCCAAAATTTAGGCAACAGAGCGACACTATGTTGACAAATTTTGGGTCATGTATATATATGATACATATTTAAATGTGTTAGGGTCATTATTTATTAAGCCAAATAATAAAGTGATCTGACTAAATTAAAGTTTTGGCTAAAGGCATATGTCATGAAAATAAAATTGTATAGAGACCATAGAAGCAATTTCTAATTTGATGAGGGGCCAAATTGGAAATACTAAAACTTAAGTAATTAACCTAATTCGATTATCTAAAGAGTCATGGTCCCCTCTCGGGAGCACACACGTGAATCAGCCTCGTTCCTTTCTTTCTATCCCCATCAAGAGAGAAAATCAAGAGGGAAATACAAGTGCTTTCTTCAGGTGGAAGACCATAAGATCAATATAGTGTTCTACAAAGACATCATCGTTATGGCTAATTCGAGTACGCTTTCGCATTCAGTTTACAGCATGTTTATCGAGTATGGGATTATGTTTATGTTTGATCGTTAGAATCAAAATCGGGATTATTATTATTATTATTATTATTGTTTTTCCAACAATTGGTATCGGAGTCGCCCATATTTGATTCATGTCTCGTTTAATTTATAGAACCCTAATTATGAAAATTAGGATTAATTTTGTTTTAAACAATTCAAATTACCCAATTTTATGAACCTTAAGTGGAGAATAATCTCTAATTTTTGTAAACCCTAAAATTTAAATTTGGGGGTAATATCCCCAATCTGATTCTGCTTGCTGATGGAATCGTGGAGGAAGCTATGGATTCTTCTTCTTCTTCAGTTTTCCCTTTTATTTCGGTTTAAGTTTCAAGTTTTACTGAGAAAGAAACAATGTTTCAAATTTCAATCTTTCTTGTATTGGGTTCTTTGTTCTTTTTTAAATCTTTTGTTTTTATTTAATTTTATGGGTTTGGAATTGGGGGTGGTGTTTGTGGAGTTTGTTAGGATCGAGCGCTTACCACTAGGCCAAAAGCTATAGCCGTTAGTCAGAGCGCAACTCTTTTTACTTTAACAGCCCAAGCGCCACGATTCAATTGTGACTCGGCCCACCTGACCTTCGTCACAGGACAATTGATGCT